AATTTGTTTTATCGGCTAAACTACTCCCATAAATTACTTTCTCCATGCGATCAGATAATGTCCTCAAATTCACGCGCGCAACTTCCGCTGTAGATCAATCTCCTCGCTTCCCGGGCCTCACTTCCCCTCACCACGCTAGTCGGATAGGCGACCGAGAGATTCCCATTACTTCGGGGAAACTGCGTTACATTACGCTGGGTCTTGAAAACAGATCGTTTTGGAAACTCGCGGAGCAGATTCGCGGTCCGCAATTGACCGACCCGGATTTGCGACCGACATTTTCGCGAGCGAGTCTATCCAATATTAGACGGTCTGGCCGATAATTGAATTATGAAACGTGTACCCGTTACCCCGCGCGATACAAGAGACCTCGCGCCGTATCATTGCGAGAGAGAAAATTAATTTCGCAAATCGTAGATTTCGCAAATTTGCAAATTTATAAACGTCCCTTTTCCGCACTGGCGTTATTACATTGCCGCAATGTTGCTAGTGCAGCGCGGGCACGGCGCACGTGAATAATTAAATTTTAAATAGAGAAAATAGAGCTTTAAAAATTAGACGAGAGTGCACGGGGCTGAATGATGCATCACGTGGATGCGTCAAAATGGAACAACGCCGGTGTCGAAAAATAAATGTTGGGACCGCGAATGGATGTGCTCGCGCGGACGCTGACGGTTAACAATTCATTCGCGGGCCGATCGATGCGACGTGTCGGAATTTTGAGCCCTCAAGGCGAAGAACGACGGCGGGACGCTCGATGTTAGGCTATTTACGTTCCCATCGGGAGTAGGACGGGCGTAAAAATGCTACAGGAATGCGGAGGCGTGTAGGAAACACAAAATTTCCATCGCGCCGCGTGTAAATGCGAGCCGCGGCCGGAAAAGAGACGGGTATATCACAGTAGACGGCTACCACGGAAATTGCCCACCTGCCCGGTTTCCACGATCTCTTCATCCCTCCCGCTCCCCTTCTCCTCTTCTCCCTCTGCCTCCGCCTCTCCCTGGTCCCTATTTCGACCCGCAGATGTATGATAAATCGAAGTGCATCGGGATACTTTCTCATTCGGAAAAAGAGATACGGCCGCGCGCGCATTGGAAATTTTTATCTCGCTCGCTGTGCTCTCGCCGCGAAATGTAAACCCAACTCGCTTATAATTAACTGTTATTATTAAAACTGTTATTATTAAGCGCCTCACAGCGAGATTATATTTACACTGTGCCGTAAAAATAATGACGTGTGCCGGAAGTGTCTCAGTTATTTTTTTTTTATTCCGTCTTTTTCCCTTCCCCCTGGTAATTTAATTCGCGAAATGTAAACAGGGAAATGTCGCTCGCGGGTCGCCTGCAAAATTGAAGGAACGAATAAATACGGGGTATAGGTGTGCTTTCCTGTCTTTTCAGGAGCAACAGCTCGACCCTTTCCCTTCAGATTGAATTATAGAAACGGGCGGCCAATCCTTTCAGCTTGCCCCCTATCGGCGATCAATATGTTATCGCGTAAGACGCGAAAAGGGGGATATCGATGGCGTGCTTATCAGACGGTGAACGTGAAAGAACGAGCTTTTACTTTAAATAGAAGTATCGTGTTGTTTGTAATTCTTTGCACGCACGCAAAAGTGCCTGTTCACAATTGCCGTATCGACGACTTTCCGACTTTTCCGTGATTATCTGGCAAGACAGTTTTTCTCTTGAGGAAAAAGGGACACTACTTGTCGCAGCCATCGTATACATGGAGAGAATATCGTAATTTTATTCCTATTCTATTTTCATTTCGTTTATTTTTTACTTTTTCATATATAAATTTTTTCTTAATTTTACTATGTTTTGCAAAACATAGTAAGTAAATAGTATATACTATGTTAGTGCAAAACTAAGAGCAAGTAAATAGTAAATTAATAAAATAATGAGTTTTGTTGGAAACAGCCAATTTTTGTAATAGCAGATTTGTAATAGCAGCCTAAAATTGCTGCGCAATGTGGAATGAAAGAATAATAAATTATTGCAGAATGTCGATTTATTCGCGGTCGCAAAATTCTCTAGTGTAATTTTACCATAAAATTTTCTCCGTGTATATTCTTCACATCTCCCCCTAATTTCGCATTGACCTTGCTTTTTCCGAGGGTGTTCTCGTAATGATTCCGAGGGTGTTCTGCGGATATTCTAGAACGATATTTTCCAGACTACCCCATAGAACCATGACCATCTCAGTAACACTGTCTCTCACGCTGTTTGCTCTAGTGCCGGTTCTATTATTACTATCCTCATACGCGGAGTGCGGTCTAAGAGGATATCACGCGACGGTAGGCCTGGCGGAGGTCCTGGAGAATATCGATCTTCCGCGGAAATCATCTTAATGATGGTTGTTCTGGCTGCTGTCGAATTAAGGTCAATAGCCAAGATGAATGAGGTTTATTCGATCTCGCCGCGGGATATTTGCGAATCCGTGGTGTGGTTATCTTGTTTTCCGGAAAGCGCCGTACGCTTTCTCCTTAAACTCGCCATTTCCTTCCCATTAGTCCTCGAATGATCGGATTGTGGATCGGGCGTTACATTGTTACGCTAAGTACACGTATCGAATTTTCCTCCGGAGTATTATCCGCATTAACCGCGGCGCGTATATCCCTCTGTGTGACACACGCTAGGCTCGCGCAACTAATGTCTCGTCGATTGGTTTAATCCACTTATCGGCGCGATGTCATTATTCCTACACTAATTATGTAATCATATCATGCGCCGCTGCAATAAACGAGCCAAAGTGTTCCGCGTGAACGCAATCGAAGCATAATTTATAATTGACATTTCAAAGAGCACCACGCGATGCACAACCCTTTGGCGAGTGCATCGCGCGGCACTGCAGCATGAGATTCTCCTTCTTTCAGCCTTTTCTTTCTTAATGGCAGAGAATTTAATCAAGGACTGGAGCGGCGGAGTAACGCAATGTCGATAAGCTGAGCGCTCTCCAGCGCAGCGTTACAAAATCTAAGCGGAGGATACCGGTTAAGAGATATGTGTTGGCACACGCGTCTCCCCGTATTACCAGATAGACCATAGGTATAAGGATGAAAATTAGGAGCGGTCTGAAGTTTGATAATTAAGAGAGCACTATTCGCTAGAGTGGTTTGTAAGTTACGATGGAGTGCGCGTGGTTTAGCTGGCGTTATCTTCTATATACGCGATCCCGGAGCCAGTGTGCACCTTAACTTCGACCTTCGATCCGGCCTCGTGGTCCTCCGCGCGCTCCTTGGCTCGCGCAGTTAATGCCACTCCTCTATCCTCTTAAGATATCGCATTATCACTAAGAAGCTTTCCGCGCGGGACGCAAACTCTCCGCAAGTATAAAAGTGGATCGGATTAAAACTTAACGTGGATCCTCGCATAATTGCATTTCTAACAAGCACGCCTATTGCGACCGGCGTCGAGGCGCGGTGGACCTTCCTCGATTACAACGGGGCTCCATTAAACGAAGTGTCGGGCCTGTCCGCCGGAGTCAAATCCTCCTTGCGGCGAAAACTCATTACAAAGTGGCGGAATTCGCTAGCTGCGCCAGTGATTATTAAAGTTAGATCGATGCATCAAACCGGTAACTCCGCTCGTCCAGCGCTAATCGTCCCTGTAGCGGATCGCGAATTAGATCAACTTGATGTAAACTGCGGTCCATTAATTTCAATACGCCCGAAAGATCGTGTCGAACGAGCGGGGTGCTGTGAATGTCCGGGCGGAGCTACTCTCGACTTGATAGACGTTCAATATCGAGCGAGAATTTAGATCAAGACGAGAGGTTATAATAGCCCCGGCGGCTTGTGTATGTACGCGCTTCCGACAAAAGGAACACGATCGAACGATGCATTTTCACACCTTGTTGTGCATGTAGATTCGCGATTCACCGCAGCACACGTCGCTATGTGTTGTTTAAACTCGCGCACCGGTCTATCCATTATCTGGCGTTCGGTACCGCGACTCTATCGCTCATAACTTCTAACTGGAGCCCGGCTCCGGTTGTTGAAGTTAACCGAAACTTATATCTAGTTTATGCACCTGTCTCTTCCCTCTTATAACCTCTGTAAACGCGCTCGCTCACGCTCATCGCGATCGCACTCACGGCTGCGGCCTTCCTACGCCGCAAGCTGCTATTTCTATGAGCGCCGTGAGATTGCAGCCGCCGTTAGAATTCGCAGCCCGGAGTACGGTCGAAGGGCGTATCAGCTTCACGCACCGCTGACATCATAATACCGGGTCGCGATTCATCGTTGTTAGCGCATCTTCTATTAAGATCTGTCGGTAACGAGCTCAACTTTCGACGACCAATTATCGCGCGGAATAGACTTTAGCGTGAGCATTCATGATCGTCCCAGCCAACCCTGTACCGATATTGAATACTGAGTTTCGAGCGCGCGGCTTCAGCACAGCTGTCGTCCTTAGACTCGCGAATCGTGGAAAAACGAGAAGAAAATATTCACGCTTCTCTTTTCTCGAAGGAGATATAATCGACGAAGAAATTAAATGGAAACTCTAAATTGAAACTCGTATTTCTACCCGAGACGTTTCTTCAGCGAATATATTTCACCTGAAAAGAATCGGCGATAATTATCCGAGCGATAATTATAACAATGAAGCCATTCGATCGCTGAAAATTCGATCTGTAAAATGTAGCGCGATTCATGAAAATAGTCACACCTCAGGATAATTTCCGTAATGTGCCATATGTCGTATGAACAACATCGTCGTTTAATTACAAACACAATGACGTATTTAGCGTCGCGTCAGTGTCAACGTATTACTTATGCAAACGCGAAACGGCGAGGTAACAATCTACCGACTACTATTTTAAGCAGTCCGCGCGCTTATTTCACGCTCACACGTTTATGATAGATAAGCATTCTCCTCATTGTTAATTAATCCACTGTTTGTTTGTGTTCCACGAGCACAATTCTTGCAAGTCGCGATAACTTGGTACTCCGATATTTCGCGCGCGGGGAGTCTAATAAAATTCCGTCTTTCCAGATAATCCACGGCGTGCACATCGAGCCTGCGCACGAAGTAAAGAAACGCAGCATCAGCCAGCCAGTTCGCATTCTGCTGTCTTACGACGAGAGCGTCTTCAGGTGAGTCTTCATGTGATATGTACGCGCGCACGTTTCCACGAGATTCGATGGGTTCGTAGACGGTATGAAATTACGGCGGGTTACTACGGATCGACTATATCGGGCCGCAAATCGAATTCACCTCGCAGCGCGACGAACTGCTCTAATTATCTAAAGCGGCAATCTCCTGTGAGCAATTGAAAATAGAGAAACTTGGCTCTAGCTTGATTTACGCGAATTCGAATGCTCTCTGGGACTCGCTAAATTCGTGCACGCGCCTTGAGCGCTCTCTGTCACCGCGACGACGCGATAGAATTTTCAGATACGAATTTTAGACACGAGCCAAGGAAGAATTATGCTCCTTCACGAGAACGAAACATGGAGGAGTCGACGTTCGGGAGGACGCGACGCAGAATCGCGAATTTCGCAAACTTCTCTCGTTACGCTTTAACCCGCGAATTTTTATGAAATTCGCGGCACGTTATGAGACAATAAGATTTCTCTGGGGTTGTAAATTTTACGCTCTGAAAAATGATTGTTTCACGCTCCGTGATTTCTACCTCACGCAACAATTAGTTCGCGGCGCACCTTCACGTGTGTAATTCATTCGAATAAACACGCCGTGTCGCCGCTGTGTCATCCGCTCGTCACGCCACTGCGTGTCTAATCCGCGTCGTTATACGTAACGCACATCTACGCTGGATCTTTCGCGCGGAGCTAATCTGCTAAAGTGCCCATAAATATTTCTCCGTTGCTTAATTCTCAAATGGCACGGCAGGAATTAACCCCAGCATTGCGTAATACTTCCGTTACCGTACGACGCTCTGGGGTTACCTGTCACCTGCCTGCGTCGTGAAAAGAACGATACGATCCGCCTCTCTCTCTTTCGCGCGCACAGAACAGTTCCTACCCGTAATTGCTTCCCGCCTGCTGCGGGCGTTATTTCTAATCCGCGCGAAAATTACTGTAACGACGTAAGACGTCCCTTAAACGATTACACCGCGAATATACGATCGGCCGTTCCCAAGGACTCTACTCGGATCGTGAAAGAGATACGGTCTACCATGAAAACCCCATCGCGAATTTCGATATTGCCGAGGTAATGTCTTCGAGGTAGCACGGCAGTGCTCGAGACGGCGAATTTTCTACAGTTATTATTATTATTTGTATTATCATCATCGTAAGGTTCTAATGCGCAGAGACACGTGCGCCTACGTGCACATCCCCGGTTACTTGGCTCGAGTAGCATTCCAGAAATTTAGGGACACTGCGAATAATCTTCATTGCGTGTCTCTCCCGGTGTCTTCTGCTGCAGTTGCCGCGGTAGGTAGGTAATGCGTTGAGACCGTAATAGCCGGAAACACGATAAGCAAAGATACGGTTACTACCGTCGGACGACGATTCCGCAGCAGCTGATGTGAAATGCAATATCGAGGTAGCGTATTATTATCGGAGCCGCACGACGATACTTGCACTCTAATGAACGACTATTGTGCACTCGCGACGAAATATATTTGTTGGTGCGCCATTTAGGGCGCGGAACAATCGATGCACTTGCATACGCGGTTATCGACGGAAAGAACTGCGTTGACGTTTCTGCGTTTCAACGGGAGTCGCGGTGAAATCGCGAACCGGTGAATCCTATGAAATTTCACCCGTTTCGTATTGCCAATCCTTTGTGATGATCATGTATTAAGTTAGTGCAAGCCAACTGTTCGTTTTTCTATTAAATTTCTATAGAAAGTTTGAATATTAAGAGGAAAATAGAATGTTTTCGTAAAGTGTATGGAGTTGATGTTCATTTTATTCGTGAAAACTATTAATCTTTCGAAATTGGATAATTTCGGTCTCTGTTTTGTTTGACAGACAAGACAAACCTCTTGCATCAACGTAATGCACGTCATTCGAAATGATGGTTGTGCAAACAACGGGTATCCACGTGGAGGGAATTTTGTAATAAAAGTAGAGGACTTTATAATCGAGGAATAGATCGACATTCTCTGCAGTAATTCACTATCCTTTCATTTCACACGCCTTATTTATATATTTGGGAACTGAAATGTGCTGTTAAAATACTTGCAATGTTTTTGGCGAGATTTATTACGTCCCTTAGCAAAATAGACTTTACTAAAGGTCTATTCCTGGTTTAATAAAAATATAGTAAAATAAAAAAAAATGTATCTGAAACAAGCTACAATATTCTCTCCGTGCAGAGAGCTTTATATTGCGTTGTAAATAATTTCGGATTTTTTCACGTAAAATAAAATGCTCGTATCTTTTTATTGTTATAATTTTACAAAATTACAATACACGCACTCGTTTCATCCGTGATCTTTTGCCACTCTTTGCACACGTTGCTTCATCAAACGACATAAAAGTACAATCGTTTTACCTGGAATATCCGAAATTACTGATTACACAACGCAATGAAATAATTTCTTTTTTATTGCGCGCTACTCTCGCACCCGTTTGTTCACGGCGCGAAGGAAACGACTTCGCCCTGCGCGTCATCGTCGCGCAGTTACTACGGCCACGATTTACCGACAATTTCTAAAACAATCGTTCCGAACGATCGTGGTGCAGCGCGGTACAACGCAGCGCAGCGCGCGACGCAATTTTGTTTCGATCTCACGTAGTACCCTCGAAAACGTTTCCATCGGATCCGTTCTCGCGATCGTCAGATAGCCGGCGCTGTACTACCGCGTGTCACGAAGTGCAACGCGGCGATGTAACCGTTGCGAAACGACTATTGCGGACTCTCCTATCTTGCCGGGCGATTCACAGACCATTGACCCGATCCGCAAGTATGATGCAGCGCTGCTGTACAAACGCCGTTCTGTTTTGTCGTCGCGAACATATAATTATGTCATAACGCCGACGCATATATTAACGATTTCGCGATACAGTAGCCCGCGACCGGAACACCGCCGCATTATGCCTGCTGGGATAAGATGGGGAAGCCTTCGCCAAGTCTGCCAAGGATTTCTTGGTGCGAAACTTTTTGCAGCAAGTGTGTGTGCGCGTGTGCATACAACGTTACTTGCATCGCGCGTAAAACCGGCAGCGCGATCCGGATATATGCGTGCGAAATGCTCGCGAGTCGACGTGCCATTCATCAGAGAGAATTCGGGAGAGAACAAATATCCATTAGCGCGACTTGCTAGCGCGCACGGTAGATTAGGATTAATAGGCAGCCGCTCTTCTCGCCGGAACATCGCGGAAACGATGTATAAAGTTTCGTTCGATACGATGGGTATGCGGCTAATGTGATTACGGATAAGCGTGAAGGAACGAAGCCAGCGGAGACGTTACCGAGGAGAGAGACATCCGCGTTACGTTGGAGAGAGACAGAGGGAAAGGTCACCGCCGTCAGGAGAGACGAGAACGGACATCTCAAGTGTACGTCATTTCGCGCAACGATGACGTGGGGGTATCGCGTAAGACCTAGTTTAAAGCGCCGACCGCGGCGACGGGGCAACTTTTAACTCCCGGAAGTTCAGTAGTTGTTAAATGCCGCCGTGGCACTCGGCGAAACTTTCCGAGTGTCGGCCTTCCCCTTCCTATCTCCCTCCCTCCCATCCTCCTAAGTTTCAACGTTGCATTAACCGCGCGTCTTGTGTTCCTTGGACGTGTATTCATCTGTAAACAAGATCTTAGCTATGCATAAAGGACTTTTCAGCGTAGTCAGTCTGCGCGTAAATATTGTAATATGGTGCTGACGGCGTCTCATTGAATAGACGACGGTTACCATGGATATCTAAAGAGTCCTCGCGTTAGCGAAGTTAAGACATCATCGTCGCTGTCGTCGCTGTTGTCGTCGTCGTCTGTTAACTGATTCGGGGATTCGATCGTCTGTTCTGCGCGCCCAGTTAAAGCCTTTTGATTGATCGTCGCGCTAGCAAAAATTTCGCGTGAGTTTCAAAAGAATTACAATTATGTCACGAACGTGTCGTGCTTCCGATCTCCAAACTGCGGTATAACATCGCTCCCAACTTTCGAGGTTTCGCGAGCTGGTGGAAGCCACACTCGTGGATACACATACATACACAGGCACTTGAACAGCTTCGCCGGTGGAATTTGATACGTCGCGACGACGACGTGTACGTACACGCGAACGCGAATCTGCCGCTATGCGCGTGATACAATCGCGGTACAGATGTGCGACGCCGCGTCATTACGCCGCAGCTTCCTGGGCAACGTCGTAACCTGTGACCCGCTCCGTTCGCGACGACGAAATCATCCGCGAACGCTCGCGGAGAAGAGCATTGACCTGGCGGTGTTTAACACACGGCGCGTCTCTCGTTGATTTCACTTTCTACATGCGGCCCGATACGGTCGGTCGAGTATTTACGAGTAGCGCGTTATCGCGATATTTTACGCCGCGATATCCGCGATTCCGTAGAAGCACGTGCTATTCTCCGACGTATATTTATTGCACGTGGTAAAATCCTTCATGAAATCTTGATTCCTCCGCTGGCCGACCTTGCGATCTGATGACGGACGGACACGTCAAATAGCAAGTTAACGCTTCGAGCGCAGTGTAGTGCAAATTTGCACTGTCGATTTCACCGAAAAGTGCACGGAGAAAAATAATTTTACTCTTTTAGTAAATTCGTCGTTGCTACTGCATATTCGTAGTGACGTAAAAAAATTTTTGTTGACGTAACTAATTTTACAAATTACTTGTTATTATAGCAGAAGTAGTTTCGTTGCTAGGATAGAAAAAATTTGTTGTATTTGTCGTAAGAATCACGTTAATTTGCTATCGATGCAAAATTCCTGGCAACGAAACTACTTCTGTTCTAATAACGAATAATTTGTAAAATTAGTTACGTCAACTAAATTTTTTTGATGTCACTACGAATATACAGTAGCGATAACGACGATTGTGCTGAAAGAGCAAAATTATTTTTTTTCCATGCATGTCCATCAGCAATAGCTCTTTATTGTGACAATTTGAAGCGCTGCTATCTCATTTAATAAAAAGTGTGCAAACCGTTTTGCAATCGAGCATACACAATACGGACACAGAAT